CGAGTGGTGAGGGACGCGGCGGGATGGGCTAGTGGGCGGGGCTGGGCAGTGGTGGGGGGGGCATGTGCATGTGCGTTAGTGACAAATGATGTCCAGGGGAAGTCAGTGTGTGTGAGGGAATGTTGTGTACACTGGACATGAGTGGGGAGGTGTGTGTGTGTGCCCCCTCTTTAGCCCCCCCCCCCACATGAACTCCCTGTGAGTGTGTGTGTGTTTAACAGAGGGCGGCTCCTGTGGTGGTGGTCACACAGCTACGCTCCCATTGGTCGACTGGTGTTGATGGAAACAGTGGAGTGGGTCTGAAGGCTCTTCACCGTCACCTGCCCCCCCGCCGTCAGACGCGGCCCCCGCTGTCCTGCTAACGACCAGGTCCAGACTGTCTCCGGCCTCCGTGAGGAGGGGCACGGCCAGACCGCAGTCCAAGTCCCGGGTTCTCACGCAGTTCACCTGGGGATCAGAACTCATGACATCAGGTCTGACAAACAGCAACATTCAACCACAGTACCAACATGTGCCTCTGGGGGGCAGCAGAGTTCCCACCTTAGACAGATGTTCATATGGAACTGGTACTTTCTTTTAAATACCCCCCACCCGTCCCCCCCCCCACTCCAACAACCAGTTTCTATGACAACCAGTAGTTGATTGAATGGAAATTTAATTTAGTTCAAAATTAAACAACAGGGTCGTGGGTTCAAAGATGGTACCTGGAGGATGCGGTCCAGGGACTTTAACCCAGCCTGGTCAGCGGGGCCGTCAGGACGGATCATGTTGATGAAGACCCCCTTCTCCAGGAGTCCGTCAGACACGCTGAAGCCAAAGTCGTGGTTCTGCAGGTCTTTTCTGACCGATATCTGAGAGAACGCAGGACGAGAGGGGCAGAGGTTCGAGTCCCAGCCATGAACAACACGTTTGAACCAGGTTAAACTGGATCAGTCAGACTGGACCAGGTGAAGAGACTGAACCAGGTGAAGAGACTGGACCAGGTGAAGACTCTCAGTCATTTTTATCTAACACTGTTTTTCTGAACTTTTTATTCCCGTCATTAAAGAATTAAAAAGTGTGAAAATCGTCTCATTGTGGATTTGGAAATGCACTGAGGTCAAAAGGTCAGCATCAACAGTGAGTGACATCACTGCTGCCCCCCCCCCCCCTCTCAGACAGTACCAGCACATTTTCCCCTCCATCAAACCCAGCTGGACAGCTGCAGCGCTGACTGTTCTGACTAATGACTGTGTTCAAGTCCCGACCGGTCCAAACCCGGTCTAGTTAGAGACTAAGCAGGAACCGGGGGTGAAGTGGACCATAACAGACCCACTCCCTCAGGACGCCCTGTTTGTACTTGGTTTATCAAACCATTACTGCAGATGAGTGATTCATCCTAAACATAAGGGTCGGGGTCAGGACTTGGTTCACAGTGAAACAATTCAGCTGTGAATGTTGGGTAGTTGAGGAGGGTGGGGCCTGGGGGCATTAAGATGTTTGTACATTTTGTACTTAAACTCTGTAGAGAGTAGAGAGAGAGTAGAGTAGGGCTTTATTCATCCCCCTTGGTGGAAACATACTAACATACTGTGAAGTCATTTGTAGTACAAGTACTACAAGTACAATGGTACAAGTATATCCAAGGCTAAGCTAAGCTAAAACGGTATTTTGATTAAAGTATATCCAAGGCTAAGCTAAGCTAACAGCCCCCACCCTGGTGTCTTCTTTGGTCTCTACTGGCAGATATAAATCTGGTGAGTTGCATCACCGCCACCTACTGGTTGTATCAGTGGAATGCATTTCCCCTAGAGGACACTCTGATCACTGCAGTTAAAATAAAGAACAAAAACGTTCTTAATTTTTTTTCCTGTTCTGAATCTCACAGTACCTTGTGCAGAGTGAGGGCTGAAGTGGTCCGCGCCCTGGTGGTTGACCCTTTGACCTTGGCTGGTGGGTCTCTGTTCAACAAGTTCAGGTTGTTTTCAGTCTGGGACTGGTCTTCTTCTGTTTTTATGGCACTGGTTTCTGGCTCCAACCAGGAGTCGTCACTGGTCCTCGTCTCCTCCAGGTACAGACTCAGACAACTTCCTGTCATGGACGCCTGGAAAACAAAGATGGCCGATCAGAGGCACGACAGACCCGCGTGTCCAGTGAACATCACCATTGATCTGCTCTGGTTAAACTGGTCTGGTTGACCTGGTTAACTGTCAACATATGAAACAACAACAGAAGAAGAAGAAGAAGAAACAGGAAGTGGAAAGAGTTCCACTGGAGAACACTGTTGGTGTCTGTGGAACCAGTTCTTCCCACGTTCTGTTCCAACACCTGAACGTCTCTCAGCCTACGTAGGGACCTGACAACCAACGTTTTTAGGAGCATACTGCCACCTACTGGATTAGAGTGTGTAGTGTCATGGTATGACCAGTGATTTTTTGAGATAACTCAATCAACTCCACGACTCCAGTCGATAACAATCGTCACACATACGTATTGATTTTTGAATAATTCCCAATGTATCCCTACTGAAGACACTCGGAGGTCAAAAGGTCAGGACCTACCTCCAGTTCCCGGAGAATCTGGGACTGACCGCAGGTCTCCAGGTCCTGCAGAGCTAGAGACCAGAAGTCGTTGTCCTGTGTCAGGGGTCGACGGCAGCGGGGGCTGATGAATCTACGACAACGAAGAACTCCAACATGAGGCTGGGGGCCACTAGTCCATACTAAGGCAGCATAGGGGGGTGACAGGGGTGAGGGAGGGGGGGCAGTTGTTGAAGAGTCCCATTAAAAACCCTCAGGGCCACAGTGGAGGTTTACTGGACTATGATTGGTGGAACTGGACCAAGACTGACCAGATTCTCCCCCAGGTGAGAAAGAAGAGCAAGTGAGTCAACAGTTAACGGTGGAAAAAGGTCAAAGGTCAGATGTGATGAGTCTTTTTGTGGACAAGTGATGAGAAAAACAGATGAATCAGAATGAAACACCAGAACAGGTGTGGCCAGTTAGTAGTACTGCAGGTGTGAGAACCTGAGGAGAAAGAAGAGTTTGGACAACGACGACAGACAGAGTGAAGTGAAGGTACAGACAGGAAAAATCACTGTACAGTTTTAATCAAAGTTCATGAGAAAATGGACTAAAAATATTTAGTGTCTCAATTAATCTTTTTTTCTCAGTGCAGTGGGGGTTGGGGATGATTTTCTTCTTCTCTACTCAGACTGGACAGGAAGTGGACAGGTCTTACCCAGGGACGGCGTCAGCCTCGTCCTCAGACAACCTGCTGTCAAACAGCGGTGTGCGTTCTGAACCTGCAGAGGGCGCCCTGGTCTGGTTCCTGGGTCTGGAGCGTTTCCAGTCGTTGGGGTCCAGCAGCGTGTCAGAGACATTCTGGAAATCACTTCCTGTCAAAACATTCGTCTCGTTACTTGTTGAAAGAACGTGTCGGAGAACCCGCCGTAGGCAGCCCCGCCCTCTGACGGACTCTACCTCGGTGACCGTAGCCGGCGTCAAACCCTAAACTGTCCCAGGAACTCATGGCCGAGTCTGTGCTGGGACCAGTGGCAGAGTAGAGCTCCGAGTGTTTCCTGTTCCTGTTGAAGTCCGTCAGCTCGTCCTCGGTGTCACTCAGGAACCCGCCTCCACGGTCTGAGGGAAAAACAGGGGAAAAAAATAAAAAAAATCACCTGATGAACGTCAAACAGTCAGACAATAATTTAGTCATTTAAGGCAAAAAAATCCCCTGTTGGAAAATTAATTAAGAAGTAAAAAAAAAATGAAAGTAAACTGACGCTCCACTTGTTTCTTGATCTTCAGGGTGACGCTCTCTCCTGCCATCTGCAGGTGGTGGATGGCTTTGCTCAGTGGCTTCCCCTTCAAACTGACTCCGTTGATGGCCAGCACTCGGTCTCCGACATGGATGGCCCCGGTCCTGAGGGGGCAGGGTTTAACGTAAGAACATTAGTGACATCATCATCATCTTCTTCTCCTCCAACCGTGGGACCACCAGCCCCTGACCTCTGACCCCTGACATCCTCTCACCTCTCAGCCAGGCCTTTCCTGGTGAGGCCGGAGATGACGATGGGGTCGAAGGGTTCCTCGGTTCCAGAGATGGTGATTCCCAGCGGTCCGTTGTACCTCTTCAACTCCACGGTGTAGATGATGGAGTCGCTCATCTCCAGCTCGTCTACCACAGGTGAGGAAACATCAGGACCAAACACTGGACTCAGAGTCCAGACTAGAGACACTGTCACAGAACTACGTCAGATTTATGTTTAACAATAATTGGTTGGTCAAAAACACTGTCGTTGAATATAGTTTGATTTTTGATCTTTAATTATCAGCAACTATAATATGGTTAAAGTTAAGATCTTTGTTGTTGTTGGGGGGGTGGGGTGTTGTCAAGGGGGGGTTGGAGGTGTACAGCACTGCTGTTCCTCAGGTGACCTGGTCTAAATGTTCCTTATTTTCCCTCCTGACGTGCTGTGCTGTGGAGACCAGACTGAGCTGCAGTACCGATGTTGTCCTCGTCCTTCTGGATCCTCAGTTTGACCATGTCCTCCGCCTGCTGCAGGACGTGCACGGCGTCCTCCACGGTGCTGTTCTCCAGACGCAGGTTGTCGATGGCCAGCAGCCGGTCTCCAGGTTCCAGAGTACCGGTTCTACACGACACAAGAGCGGATCACAGACATTAACCCGGATCTGGAGGTCTGGACCCTGACTCACCGGGAGAATCCTATTAGACCGGGCTCTAAATGGAACCGACTGGACGGGAGGTGAGCAGGAGGTGAACAGGAAGTGACATCACCTCAAGTGTTCAGATAAACAGTTCTGGTGAAGTTCCTATGAGTGACAGGTACCGACCTGTGAGCTGTACTTCCTTTTCTGATGTCAGAAATAATGAGCGGCGTCCCAGGTTTTTTACTGGCTGTTGAAACAGAAGGTAAAAAAAGTTCATCCATTTTTAAATCTATAAGAAATTCATTCATGAACTTTTTTTTTTGTTGTTGTTATTTTTCAACAGAAACTCATTCATATTAAATACCAATGAAATCTGATCAGATGGAGTTGACTAAACACGAACAACACTGCCCCCTGCTGTACACTGTCACCCAGACACTCACCACTGATGGTGATCCCCAGCTCCACGTCTCTCCTCTTGGGCAGTTTGACGTAGAAGGTTCCGCTGCTGGGAACCACGGACTCTACAGTCAGTGACAGTTAGGATGAGGTTCAACGACAACAACAGCAACAACAACGACAACAACAACGGCAACAACAACTCTCTGTGATCACATACAAGTTTGGTTTAAAATTAAGGTTAGATTAAAAACTTTTTTTTTTAAATATCTGAATCTAAATATCCCACAGGTAGACTATTCATTAACTCATTAACTCATCAACTCATCCAACCATGAACTGATTCTGAGGTGGACAGGTGTTTGTCAGTCCGTCAGCAGACCACACCTGGAGGGGGGGGGTTAGTGGAAGTGTTAATGTAGGTCTATAGTTGAAGGTCGGTCCTGTTGTAGACTGGACTGAGACGCCCAGCCCGCCCAGCCCCCCCCCCCGGCCCCCCACAACCCCCATGATTTTAAATAGTAAAACAAAAAAAACATAAAATACATCAACTCTATAATTAACCATCAGAACCACCAGGCCCGTCAGAACCATCAGGCCCGTCAGAACCATCAGAACCATCAGGCCCGTCAGAACCATCAGAACCATCAGGCCCGTCAGAACCATCAGAACCATCAGGCCCGTCAGAACCATCAGAACCATCAGGCCCGTCAGAACCATCAGGCTCATCACCCTGTGGTTCTGTGTTCCACAGCAGGATGACTGTCGTGTGTCCTCTGGTCACTGTTACCTCTCAGCTGGACTGTCAGGCTCGATGAAGTGGACGACCGGGGGGGCAGACAGAGCCTCTGTGGCGAACACCCCCCCCTGCAGCTGGAGTCCAAACCCTGTGAGTGGATCCCCCCGCAGGAAGACCTCACTGGTTTCTACATGAAAGACCTGACCACCTGGTCCAACGGACCTGGAGGACAGAGACACTGAGGACGAAGAAGAAGAAGACGAAGGAGACGAAGAAAACGAAGAAGACGAAGAAGAAGAAGACAAAGATAAAGAAGAAGAAGACGAGGACAGTTACAGATTATTTTCTTGGTCCATAATTTTAATCCAACTTTTTTTTTTCTTCTTCATTAACAACAAATGTTTGTCCTACGTGAGCTCTTGTGGTCCTTCCTCCTGTTTCTCCTCCTCCCCGTGGAGCCGCGGGGGCTGCTGGGAGTCGTGGGTGGGATGGGACAAGGTAAGGTGTTACTGCCCTGGCTGCTGAAACCAGAAGTGACTGTGGAGGAAGGAGAGAAGCCGCCACTGACCACAGCTGTGAGCAGAGGACAGGATGGAGAACAAGTGACGTCACGTGACTTCACGGTCATGACCGTCAACACTCATTAAAATGAATTAATTTTGACAACTTTAAACGGAAGTTTAGTTTTTTACTGCGTTTCATTTTCTTTTCTAACCAGCAGGTGGTGCTAAGTACACAGTAAACAGTTGCATTGGTTCAAATCCATCGAATCCAACTGAAATACGGTAAACATTTAGACTAGTTAACGATCGATTACTAAATATAAGAAACGTTCACCGTTCACTGTATTTAGCCAGTTAGCCTGTTAGCTGTTAGCAGCAGAGCTACAGTGTTGTCCCGGGTCGTAACTTACTCCTGTGATCCGGCTGACTGTGGAGGTGACAGGGGCTGCTCCTCGTCCTGCCGTGGCTGACATGAGGGAGCTGACAGTGGGGGGCGCTGCTGCTCTGGTCCCACTGAGGATGACTGATCTTCTGCACTTTGACTGCAGCGGACAAAGAAAAGACAAACATAAAAAACAAACTCCTTTGGAGGTCGTCACGTCAGTAACATGTCAGTAACATGTCAGTAACATGTCAGTGACTGGAGAATCACAGGACGGAGAAACAGTGGAATTTAACGTTTTTACCAAAATAACTTTTTTATTTTCTATAAAGTTTCTAAAAGTGTTACAGCGTCAAACTAAAGAAAACTAAAGTCTTACTTTTCCTGAGGAGTTTCCTGAAGGCTGAGTGAACACTGAGGAGCATTTTGACTATTTCATTTTCAAACAAATCCAAAGGTGAGAACAGTCAGAGTGAGTTAACCAGCAGCTGCAGGAGCTGAGACCTGATTGGACACAGCTGTGTGTGTGTGTGTGATTAGAGCTGACGTGAGGAGTGTGTGTCTGTGTCCGGTCCCAGAGTCAGAGTGACACCCATGAAAAATAAAAAAAATATAAATATACATAAATATAAATAAATCTAGAAGATAAATATATTAAACAGCTTGGTAAAAGGAAGTCTGTCGCCCTCCAGTGGCATCAACTCAAACTACAGTCCACCCACTACCATACAGATACAAGAGTGATTGAAACCGGTCTTCACTGTGAGATGAACAACTGTGTTTGTCACGTGATCATTACTGCACACCTGTGTCCTGTGGCCGGACAGGAAGTCTGCTCTGATTGGCCGGGAGGACTTCCAGTTTGACAGTGTCAGGAGTGTTGGCCAACAGCTGCGTGGCCTCCATCAGTGAGCAGTGGTCGGTGCTGGTCCCATTGATGGACAGAAGGACGTCTCCAGGTCGCAGCGCTCCACACCTGGGACAGAGAGACCATCAGTCACACAGCAGAGGGACACGTGGGGACAGATTAGTTAGTTAGATTAGTTAGTTAGTTGGTTAGATAAACAAAGTGTTGATGTGATAAAAACCCAGTTTCACCTGTCGACCACACTCGCTGTCTTTATCTTGTCGATGATAACGACCTGTTTCCCTCTGTACGTTGTTGTTGTGAGGCTGATGCCCAGACTGGCAGAGGAGCCTCTGACTATCTCCACCAGCAGGGGGCCTGAGGCCTGTTGGACTGACTCTAAAGCAGACAGACAGACAGATGGAAGATTTGAAACCAACAGCCTCAGGACAGCGGCTAACACGTTAGCTTCAGTAGCTCACCGTGGACAGAGACGTCATATTCAATCAGGAACAGCGCCTCCTGGCTGCTCTGCATCAGCACGGTCAGGGCGTCTGCATGCTTCTCTCTGTGTAACGGCATCCCGTCGATGCTCAACACGCGGTCACCAGCCCTCAACGTGCCCTCTCTGAGGACACAGAAAAGAAACATTAAATATTTACAGAAAGATAATCGGTGACCGTGAAAGTCTGCGATGGTTAAAGATTTCTGCTCCACCGTTTCACGTCACGCACGTTTATCAAGAGGAGAAAATAATACGCTAGCCTCGGGATGTCCTTAAAATACACCGCACTCGACACAGAGACGATGTCACGCTTCAGGGAGCGTGAATAAATATACATAAATATTCACAGGAAAAACAATCCTACTGTATACTAGTACTATATACCAGCGTGTACTACTACTACTACACCACCAGGAGCTGACCTTTATCAAGCCTTGCAGTAAAAAACACACATTTAATTGGTCATGTAGTAAATACTTGACCTTTCATTACTGTATATGCAGTAAAGTACAGTTATAAAACTGGGTAAAATAACCCAGAGAGGGACAGTGAGGGAGACAGCGCCACAGTGTGGCGGGGCCACTAAGGTGTAGGGGAAGGATTATATATATATTTTTTAAATTTAATTTTATTAAACACTAAAAGTTTGTGACAAACTCTGCAGCTGCTTCAGCATCAGAGCTCGTGGCTTCCCCATGACGTACCACCGAGTGGACGCCAGCCCTGGGTTGAGCCACTGGTAACTAGATATTTCCTCGTATCAGGAGGAAAATCTTGAAGTAGTTGCAGACTAGTAATATGAATACTGGTACTTGGGGAGGCTGGTATCACAGTACTGTGGTACATGGTACTGTCACCTGGTTCGTCACATGGTCTCTGGCCTGAACACCAACACATCAGTACTTTAAACAGTTCCAGACTATTTTTGACCAAAAAGACTCCGTCACCTGTCAGCTGGTCCTCCGGGTCGGACGTAGGTCACCACCAGAGGGCGAGATCTGCGCCAGTCTTCATGAAATCCTCCTGGAGAACGAAGCAGATGAAAATGTTTTGGTTTTTTTTAAAGTGTGTGTTTTCTGTTTCTGCGTCAACACTTCCTGTCACCGACCTCTCATCACGAAGCCAAAACTGTTGCCCTCCTTATGTAAACACACCTCCATGGTTTTGGTTCTGGTCCCTGGACTTTGGCCTTGGAGCAGAGACAGACACAGTGACCTTATGTTGAATCACCAACAGAGCAGAAGAGTTTCCTGTGGTTGACTGGAGCTCAACCACAGGTTTGGATCTAGAACCTTCTGGGTCAGGGGTTCATCTTTAACCGTGACACAGACGACACACCCACCGCTCTGTGGTAGTTCGTACTCCACCTCCAGCACCACCCGCTCCCCGATGTTCTTCAGCAGTCGGATGATCTCATCGTGACGGAGCTTGGACAGATTGATGCCATTGACAGATCGGATGTAGTCGCCAACGTTCAGCTGGTCACTCCTGTGGACGGACGACAGGGGTGTGAATACATCCAACCGTCCATCCAACCATCCATCCATTCATCTCTTTCATTTAAACATCCAACCAATCAGTGTGAAGATAGTTCCCTTTCATTCAAACATCCAACCAATCAGTGTGAAGATAATTATTAGAGGAAACATTTTGAACAATAAAGTTAAAATATCACCACATTTGTCAAAACTACTGTGCAAAAATAAGTTTGTGTTTTTAACATCAGAGACCAACAACCCTTAAACCTGTTGGTGGCGCTGTTGATGTGTAGCCCTGGTGAAGCTAACAGCTGCAGACACTGGTGTGTCAGGTGTGTCAGGAGTCTGACCTGGCAGCCAGTCCTCCGGGCCTCAGGTTGAGAACCCTGGGCCTGGCGTCTTTGTCCGAGCCTCCAGAGATGGTGAGGCCCAGGCCGCTGCCTTCTCTTTTCATCAGCTCCACGGTGGTCACTCCGCGACACTCCTCTGGAGACACAGACCCAGAGTCAGCGCTAACGTCTGAGTGACATCATCAGAGTGACAGTGATGACGGCTAACTGTTAGCATTCGACTGGTGCTAATGTTAACACGGGAGACAAAACCCAGAGGAGACATCCAGGTCAACGCGGTACCAGTCCCATCGTACCTGGAAGACTGGACTTCCTGGACTCGGCTGCTCCGGACTCCTTGGGCCCCTTGGAGTACGGCCCTTCATCTGAGGACACAGCAGGAAGGAGCGCGTCATGACACATGACCGACTGTGTCGACCAATGAAAACACATCATCATCACGAGGAAATACAGGACTTTAACATTTACGACGATGAAAGAAAAAAAATCCAGTCCAGTGGCCGTAGGACCAACACACACACACACACGCTCACACACACACGCTCCCCCCCCCTCGCTCCCCCCCACGGCGTCCACTCCGACTCCCGAGGCCGTGACAGCGCAGCAGCTGTCATCACAGTCAAAAGGCAACATTTGCTGTGGGTTAGACTCCACGCTGCACGTGACTGGATGCCAGCACTCCCCTCCCCCTCCCTCACCCACCCTCACCCCCGCAGGTTCTCTTGACGACTTCACCCTGATGGCTGCTGTTCAGAGCCACATGGTACTGGTTGGTACTGGTTGGTGACCAGTGGATTATTCACGGATGTCGTAGGAAATGAAGCGTTTGTTGAAGGAGCTGAAACGATCGGCTCTGACTTCACACTGATACGTGTCGGGTTAATTAGGTCCGCCGCGTGCCGTCGCTCAGACGTCCAATCAGAATGTAGGTTAATTTGGGGCCGGAGCTGGAGATGAGAATGAACTCATAATTCTATTTTCAGATCCAAACTCTGGGCCTGTCACACTCTGTTAATGTTGCTGAAGCTGCTGCAAATGCACAACAAACTGAGGGAGGGAGGGGGGAGAAAGGGGGGAGACAGGAGGGGGGAGGTCTGAGAGCTGGTGGTCAACACTCTGACACTACAAGAATATTTACCAAAGAATGTGAGGACGTACACAAACAGCTCAAAATATCTGGAATCAAAATCTTCGTCCTGTAACTCAGGGTTTTGACCCTTGACCTTGTGCCCCCCCATCCCCGCAGACCAACACCTGGGTCATCGTGATCATCATGTGGTCATCTTACCACCGCCGTTCTTGGCGTCCTTCCTCAGACCACACAACATGGTGGAAACAGACTCGTCTCCTGACGATCTTCACTGTCAGAGGGGGCGACACGGCTCCGACCTTTGACCCCTGTAGAGGACCTGCGAGGAGGCGACTCTACCTCTCTGATGTCAAGTCTTGAAGTTTGTTTTTTTTCTTGGTCCAAATCCCAGTAGAATGTTCTGGAGGCGACCTCTGACCTCAGATCTTCTCTTCACTCTTTAAAAACATTTCATCTGTGTGTGGATAAAAACCAGAGCCAGGACAGAAACGCTTCCAGTTCCTCTCTGGTCATCGTACTGTGCAGCTGTTCTCAACCACACGTCCTTTTTCCAGAAGATCACACCCCCCCTCACCCTCCCCCTCCCCTACACATGAGCTCACACATAATTCTCCTCTCTCTAATACAGAGCAGTGAGTACTCTCTCTCTCTCTCTCTCTGCACATGCGTGAACGTCTGTGAAAAGTGAATTGACTTGGTTTTTCCTTTTTTTGTCTGATGATATTTCTTCTTATCTCCAGTCTTTTTGCTACTGTTTGGAGTTTTTCAGGTGAAGTTTTTACAATAAATAAATAATAGTTTCCTGCCCCTGAATCAGCCCGTTAACCCCTGCACCACGCTGGACACACCAGCCTGGCTACAGGTCCTGAAATACCCTGTAGGGGGAGCACCTGAGCCTGATCACAGAGCATTAAGGTTATGGAGAAAACGTCAGAATTAAAAAAGCTGACTTGGTGCCATCTGCTGGACAGAAAGATGTTTCCGTTACCGTTGTTCAGTTCAGAGGTAAAACCATGACTGATGTCTGCCAGCAGAGGGCAGAAGATGAAGTCAGGCTGGACCAGGGCCGGAGCTGAGAGGTTTATAAATCCCTGTGAAGATGATTTCCTCCGAGACTTTCGTCCTAAACAAGTTATTTTCTTTCACTGACACAGAGGTCAGACTTCAGAGGAAAAAAACATTGACAACAGGAAGTAGAAGCTGACTGTGAAGCAATGTGCTGACATGGCCACTAGGTGGATCGGACCTTTCATCAGGTTTGAATCTCTGTTAGGATCAGCTCTGGACGACAGAACAAACTGCTGTAGATGATGTAGAACAGCAGTGATTGGTCAGAACTAGGGCTGTGAGTGGGCAGGAATCTGGAGATACGATACAGGGGCAACAACACGATATATTGAGATACTATAGTCACGACGATATATTGAGGGAAGAAAAGAAAAAGCAAATGAACCAGGAATATTGGACTGAGAATTGGTGATAAATGACATGAATCTCTGATGGAGGAGGAGATCAGGATGTTTCAGTGTTTGGATATTTTCTTACAGCTTTAGTCAAAATAAATAAAAACTAAATGATTTGTTCTTCTTACCCCTCCCTCTGATGACTCCCAGGCGACACCTCAGTGAGAAGGAGAACATCCTCCTCCTGGTCCCAGACGAACGGCCGTTCTTCCTCAGATCTCCCGTCTGAGGGTGGATGAAGGAAAACTGCATGAGGGTGGGGGAGTGTGGGGGCGAAGTCTTCGTGAACATCACCGACCAGACACCTTCATGAAGACGTTCTCCGTCCTCTCTGTGACCCTGGGTGTCTCAGACGCTCCAGTCTGTTCTCCTTGGACCCTGGACCAGGTCCAGTCCATCACACGGACAGATGCGGGTTTTTAAGAAGACGCTCCTCTCCTCCTCCAATCACTGACTGGCTGGAGATGTGGTGTTTGCTGCTCTGCTGTCATGAACAGATGGTCCAGAGCTCAGGGCTGTGGGACGCCGACCGCCAGCCAGAGCCAATGGAAACTTTCCCTGCAGGAAGTCACAGCTCAACACAACAACAACAACAACAATACAGTATATTGTACTCTTTACACGCTCTACTTCAAACTGCTAAATTTACTGGTTATTACTGTTGAAAAATTTAATTTTTTTCAGTGCAATATTCTTGTCTTATTACTATAAGATTGACAAAAATATTGCACTGAAAAAATGGAATTTGATTTAATTTATTTAATTGCACTGAAAAAAATTATTGGTCAATATTTTCAAGTATTTTTGGTTAAAAAAAAATTTGTGAAGCACAGTTAAAATCAGGGGCAACAATTTGAGGTCAATTTGAATTTAATCCCAGTTAGAATATTACTACTTTACTACTCCTAGTTACTCCTACATATACAGTTACTTAGATTACTGTAGTTACTGACGTTCCAGAGAAGACAGTGATGATGGAGCCGTGTTATTGGCTGTAGCTGGGGAGTGGGTGTTGCACCTCATGCCTGTGTGGTAATAGGATTAGTAGTCTAATCCAGGAGGAGTCAGGATTAGATCTGCTCTTCCCCCACAGCACAGAGAAGATTCACGTTCCACAAATCACAGAAAGAATCTGGGCCTCGGCCAATCACGGTTGGTTTTCTACATTTACACTTCATGTGTTCATGTTTTGGGTTTTTGGTTTTTATCTGCTGACGTTTCCTGGAGGAAACTCTTCAGCCGACACTCGGACATGCCTCCGTCTGGATGAACGGAGATAATCTGTGACAAATCAAATCACGTTAGGCCACGGGATCTTTGAGCTGCAGAGAGAACGACGACGACGTCAGGGCTGGAACCATGAGATGTGAGAAGCTGGAACCTTCAGGCCTGGATCAGTCATGTGGTACGACGGCAGATTCTAGAGAAATGTTCCACAACCAACAGGTAAATATGTGAAATGACCTTTCACCTCCCTAACCCTAACCCACAGAACAGTCTAGGTCCTAAACAACGACAGTGGTTTTACCTGAACACATCTTGTTGTTCTGCTGTGTTTGTAGTTTAACATCTAATCTGACTTTCATCCTGGATTAAAATTATATTTTAGTCTGAAACTAATCTGCACAAATGATTTTACTAACATTACAGATTATATTAAATCTGTGTGTGTGTGTGTCCAGGCTCTGCGATAACAGAGGCTGAATGACACCATGGCATACCAAGCAAAAACACCAGGGGGCGCTCTGATGGACTTCTGTAAGTCCAGATCAATATATTTAAAATGAACCGGTCTTGATTTATTTTCAGACTAATGTCGTCACGGAGGATTTACTGAGCCTGGAAGATTAAACACCTCTCAGAGTCACTCACCGCTGACGGAGTTACAGATCTGACCTTTTATCATTAGAAAATATATGAAAAAGAAAATGATATTCCTGCTCAAACTACTGCTATTAGACTACACTTAAAAGTACTGTCGACCTGGATAAACTGCAGTATTTAAATCTAACAACAGTCCTGGTACAGAGACCAGAGCTAACGTTAGCTACAACAGTCCTGGTACAGACACCAGAGCTAACGTTAGCTACAACAGTCCTGGTACAGAGACCAGAGCTAACGTTAGCTACAACAGTTCTGAAAATTTGAAAATATTGACTTTGCTGTTAATTACTTTAACGTGATCAACACTGTGATTCAGTGATTAATTAATTATAATTGAATGTTGCCCCCCCCTCACCCCACCCCCCTATGACCAGTCACAGCCCCCAGAGCAAACTACACACTGGTGGGGGAGGCCATCAGGTTCATGATCCCATCCCACATGCAGTGCTCCGTGGGCTGTGGAGGTCGGTCCTGCAAGTACGACAGCCCCATCTACTGGAGAGACGACCAACAGGCTATAAAAGGCCTCTACTCCTCCTGGTACACGCTTGTTTGACTGTACTGCAGTATTTGTATTTGTATTTCTCCAGTTTTCTCTCTGAGCTGCACTTCCTTCTGCCCCAGGGTAACGGATCATCTCCTGGCTTCATCCAGACCCTCCACACAGATCATTGACAGATACAATATTATTGATCAATTTAAAAGGTACAGCAGAACCTCAGCAGCACGTGGAGTATTAGCGCCACCTTTGGAGATCAAACGTAACGTTTCTCTTTCTCCTTTGTGTCAAGGAATGGTATTAAAACAGTGATCAACCTGCAGATTCCTGGAGAACACGCCGACTGTGGGAGCGGTCTGGAGCCGGAGAGCGGGTTCTCCTACTGCCCCGAGGTCTTCATGGAGAACGACAGTGAGTGTCTGTGAAGGTTCACCCTCCCACTGCTGCAGGAGTGGAGCTGCTCTGACCAAACACCTCTGACTTTCCTCAGTCTATTTCTACAACTTTGGGATGAGTGACTACGGCGTGGCTAACCTCAGCACGGTGCTGGACATGGTGAAGGTCGTGGCCTTCGCACTCCAGGAGGGAAAAATAGCCGTTCACTGTCACGCCGGTCTGGGTCGAACAGGTAACTGTTGGTTCTCCGTCTGCTGTGGAAGACAAGTTTCTCCCCCCTCTCACTCCCCTCTACCCCCCATGTAGGTGTGCTGTTAGCATGTTTCCTAGTCTATGCTACCAAGATGACGGCCAACCAGGCCATTCTGTTCGTGCGTGCCAGAAGACCTGGTTCTATCCAGACCAGAGGTCAGCTTTGCTGCGTCCGTGACTTTGTCCGGTTCCTCACGCCCTTGAGGAGCGTTTTCTCCTGCGCCGATCCTCGGTCCGACCCAGTGACTCTGGCCCAGTACCTGAACCGTCAGAGACTCATGCTGCACGGCACTGAAAGGAAGGAGCTGCGACACCTCCCTAAGATCGTCCAGCTGGTGTGCAGGCTACTGAGGGACATCGCGGAGAATCGACAGGTCATAGAGGAGGACGTCCTGGAGGCGCCGGACGTCCACGACATAGAGATGACTTTGAGTATCGTGGAAAAACTTGGACCTGAAACGTTTGCAAAAAAGCCCCACCTCCCAGGTATGCCCACCTTACCAAGACATTTCAACGAGCCGCCCATCTTCTACCATCACAAGAGCCTGAGCTACAGCGAGACTGACCTGCGACGACTGGGCTCCGAGCTCAACCTCCTGACCCAACCTCTCGGATCGCTGTCCCAGAGTAACGCCGACGTGTCTGTCGTCCAGGGTCAAGGTTGGACTGGTAACGTGTCGGACGTCTCACAGAACTCCACGGGGTCGCTGTGGCAACATAAAAACGATGGCTCCACTCTGCTGAAGACCACCAGGCCCAAACCCATCCAGCGCAGTGAGTCTGTGGGGAACCACAAACTGATGAAGAAAGGCGGCCTGTGGTCCAGGTCGGAGTGTGAGCTGACGAGGACCGGGTGTGGGGCTGAAGCAGAGGAGCAGTCGGAGGTGCCCTTCATCACCCTGCAGTCGGAGCTGTCGCTGGAGAACAGGAGGCTGCTGGTGGCTCAAGCCCTGGCACTGGACCTGTTCCTCGACGGAGAAGAAAAGCATAAAAACAAACTCTCGGTGTGGAAGGTGAGTCGGTCCGACCACAAACATCCACAACATCAGCTGTGATTAACAGTCAGTAAAAACCAACACCTCTGGTTCCATTAATGCAGCTCCAGTCTGCGTTCTTGTGCCCAGGCTGAGCTGAACCGTGGAGGAGCGTGGGAAACTCTGTGTACGGAGCAGGACCCCTTCATCCTGACTGGACTCATGTGGGCCTGGCTGGAGCAGCTGAAAGAACCAGTGATCTCCATGCAGGAGGCCAAAGCCCTGAACTCCGACACCCGCAGCGACGTGCAGACTGTGCTCGACACGCTTGACCACGTCAGCAGAGTTTTTGTGACCATTCTAGTTTGAAACCAAAGTAAATCTGCGATGACTCCGTCTGGAACACAAACCCAAAGATTTGATTTGACCTTTACTCTTCGTGTCACATCTTTCCAGGCTCATAAACAGACCCTGGCCTGTGTCCTGGACTGCATGGCTCACATGCTGGAGATACCAGAGGAGGTGGAGGCTGCTTTCCTGAGGAGAACCATCAAGGCTTTCACCTGGGTAAAATAAAAAAACAGCATGATGAAAAATGATTTTAATATTCTGACCTCCAAAAAACAGCAACAGATCTTATTTTATATATTCATACATAAAGATTTTATTATCTGAAAAATGATTTTAATATTCTGACCTCAATATCCTTCAACAGATGGACTTTAACTCCGTGGAGACTAAAGCCGTTCACGAGTCGATGACAGCCGTTCTGAGGAGTGTCCTGGGGGACATGAGGTCTCAGGTTACAGATGAGACACATTTGTCTCCACTGCTGTCCACCCAATAGTCTTCAATATGTTAATGGTGCCTTTTGACTCATTTATTATTAATTATTAAATTGTCAACGTGCAGAGTGTGTGTATGAATAAATGACCAACTCTTTGTCCAGTGTTGTAGCATAAACTCTAGAATGTAACCAGGGTGAAGTGACTTTAAAAGACAACACGACAGTTTTAACAACACACTGATGTTATCACAATGATAAAACATTTAACACAAGAACTGCATCCAGTACCTGCCAATGTCACGACAACTGATCATTTCATACTATATATATATATATATATATAGTTTTAAGATAATGACCTTTTGTTAAATTGTCCTCAGGTTGTTCTGAGATGTGAGTCTGACCTGAATAAAAGCAAAACGTACAATTTTCCTCAACAATTTCTTTATTTCTTTGGACACAAAATTTTACTGCACATTGAAGCCATAAAAGACCAAGAAATAAAAAGTGAGGTCAAATGACGTAGTGTTTATAGAGCTCACATCTCGGGTCTTCTTTCCTTTCAATCGCCTGTTGAATATAAACATCCTCGCTCTTCCTTGTTGTTAGCATCCATGCTAAAATCTCCCGCTGGAGTTACGGCTCCTTCATTCTCTCTCGACGCAGCTTCTTATGTGTTGAAATTGATAGAAGTTTTTCTTCTTCTCAAAGATTTTTGCTGAGGATTGTTGTGTAAATTGTTGTTGTTGTCCAGACCGGTGAAATGCGGCGCAGGATTATGACGTCAGCGGCGAGAAGAGACTTGACTCGATGTTTTCATACGTTCCTTTTTTTTCTCCACTGAATGATCCAGTATTCTAAAAATCCTACTTTAAATGTGTAAATTTATGAACTGCCATACGGACCGCCATGGTTTTTAAACCTCATCACGTGCCTCTTTACAGCCAATCATAGCAGAGCGTTAAACCAATATTATTGTGCACCGATAATTCTATATTATCAACCATGTTTAATAATGTAAAATAATACTCTGTCTGTCGAGTACTTGGCCAGTGAAGGTATTATGAATGGATAAGACGTACTTTACGCTTCCTTTACGTTTATATTTGAACATTTTTCTTAAGCCAATCAAAGTAAATATAATATTAAGTGCCATGCATGTGACCGATATTTTAGACTGAAGTCTCGGTACTTCAGGCAGATAATACAGAGTACAGCTGTATTTGTTCGGAGGTGACGTTCACGATGTGAAAACATAAGCCTTTAACACGTCTTTTCCATCTTTTCCTTCTACTGAAGCCACAATGCTAGTGTAGTCACAGGCCACGTGAGTGAATCCTCTACGAACACAAGACCAAAGAACATCGAGTGGATGACAATATTCAATATCGGGTCATACGGTTCTGGTATTGGTTCAGCTGTGAAGACCTCTTTACCTGGACATCGTGTGAGATCCTCCCAACAAGTGATACCTGCTCTCCAGACCAGTGTCTCCGCCTCTGCTCCAGGTCAGCACCCGCAGGGACAGATCCTGGGACGCTGTCACCACCCGGAAGTTGTCCTGATGTCCCGGTCAGGAAGCAAAGAGTTAGGGAGAGAATTAGGTTACTGCAACTAACCAACTAACCAACTAACTACCCTGTAACATTTCCCCCCCTTAACTTTTTATGTACAATCTCACACTGTTTACTGTAGAACAGACTTCCGGTCAGATAAAATAAAAAATAAAGACCCCGTTGTGTGATAACGGACTGACCAGACAGCAGGATACTGTCAAAAATAAAGACCTGTTGTGTGATAACGGACTGACCAGACAGAGGGAGGAGATGGACATGCTGTGTTCTTTATAACGAGCCAGTACGGATCCTTTCACAGAGAACACCCACAGCTGCGGGCCGGACGCCAACAAGAAGCAGTTGCTGTCCTTGGCCTCCAGAAGGATGTCCGAGTGCTGGCCGATCTCTGACAGGTTGAAGGACTCCACCTGCTGGACTGAGAGGAATAAAACACCTTAACGTCCTGAAACTGCACCTGCGTTATTCCACTGACCACTGACCACTGCCCGTTCAAATGTGTACATATATGTCCTTTATTTTACATGTTACGTTTCATTTTTTCTTCCTATCACTTTTGCATAAATGAATAAAAACTGAATTGAATTTAAATTTGAACAGATGTCATGTGTTCTTTTTAAGGGGTTTAAGATACTATAAAATATTTGACTGTAAATAAAGCTGTTTATCACCAGGTTAGGTAATAACCTCTGGACAGACTGACCAGGTAAATAAAAAAATCTCTTTCTAAAATGCAGTAAAAGTATTTCCCTTTGAACTCCTCCACCCAGTATTGATTTCTAATGGCTGTTATTAGACTCAGATTTCCGTCGTGGGCAGATTCTTGGTTAATGCACTGGTATCTCTGTCCTCACTCTGAATGTCTGACTTGTACTTGGTCTTTCTCATGCTGACGTCGAAGACACTGAGGGCTTTGTGTGAGTCCACACGGTTGTGGACGATGGCCAGTCTGGCAGCCTGGGTGGGGACGAAGACAGCAGCTTGGCACCCAGGGACCGGCACCACCCGGGACAGAGGTTCTTCGTCCTCGCTGGGACAGGTCAGGCTCTCAGTGTAGATCAGCTGCCAGAAGAAATCCAGGAAACGTATTAACGTCTCATCCTCTTATCAATGCACACCTTATTTTTTTTCCTCTCCCTTGTGTTATTTAAACAGTTGAAGAAAACGCAGCAGAAAAGACCAGGGTGGGAAAACCAAACAGAGTCAGGCGGCCAAAGACAACAAGACATACCTTTGGACTTAAATCATCATTGTCCTTGGTTCCAGCTGCAATCCATTTCTTGTCTGGTGAAGCTAGAAGAATGTTGACTTTAAAGGAGTCACACACCTTTATGCTCGACTTCTTAGTCAGAGCCGAGTCAGCTAAAGTGCACACCGAGCCCAGATGGGTTCCAATCTGAAGTTTAAAAAGAGAAAAAAAAAACTTGGTTAGTAAATTACCTTTGACAGAAGACGTTTGAGATGAGGACAAACTCCGATGTCACCTACAGTCAGGAACCACTCCTTGTCGACACTGTACTGGACTAAAGCACTAACTGGATGTCCAGTGGAATAGGACGCCCCCTCCTGGCCAGTACCAGCCTGCCAGGTCTTAATGATTCCACGGCTGTCTGCTGTGATCACAGCGTCACTCTGTTCATCACGTATGATGTGTGTCAGTGGACTCTGCACAGGAGTGCACCACAGGAGCTCACCCTGACGGCACCAGAGGGAGGGGGGAGGACGGGGGAGGAGGGGGAGGAAGGATAAAGGAAGGGGGGAGGTAGAGGAAGAAAAAAAAGGGGGAGAAAGACAGAGCTAGGTGTACTTTTGGTGCTTAAGCTACACAAATCAAATACACATATATATACACACACACATACAGTAAATATATAAATATATATATTTATATATATACTGTATGTAAATATATACATGACAGCAGGAAGTCTGTGTTGCGGGGCTGCACTGACGTTGTGGACGTTCCAGGCTCTGACTGTCCCGTCAGTGGAGGCGCTGCAGACTGTGGAAGAGCTGGTGAAGAGGTCAGGGTTCTGGGCTGAACTCCCCCGCAGGTACACCAGGCCCACCACCCTGCCTGAGGGGAGGACGGGGGGGGGGGGGGACATCAGAGCAGTGACATCAGAGACATACAAGCCGTGTCTTTGGACCACTGACCTGTGTGACCTCTCAGACTTCTGCAGCTGTAACCTCCTGAACGCCCCGTCGTCATCTTCGACTCCAGATGACATCGTCGCAGGAAGTACGTCTTCCACGAGTGAGTTATGTTTTCATTTCCCAAAACACTGAGATTACAGAAGCTCCAGCGCTGCAGACAGAGCCTCCTGATTGGATGATCAAAAAAAAATCTGTTTGTTTTCTTTTTTAACCATTAAGAGACAGAGTGAAGCAGACGGAGGATCAGCTGTGACGTCTGCTGATATTCAGGAAGAAGAAGAAGAAGAAGAATAAGAATTTTTCTTCTGCTGAACTGAACCTGGATGAATGTTCTGCTCTGATGTAATGTTTCCTTCTCTGCTGTACAAACAACCTGTGGCTGAGCTGTTGACGTGTCTGAGGACAGGTGATATTGATCACAGTAACAACGGATCATTCAGCCGTGGGAGGTGACGACAGTCTGACACTGAGGTCAAATCAATGGAACTCATCTGAACTAATGAAGAAGTTTTAAACCTGCAGCTGTGTTAATAATAGGACAGAATAAGACACGGACTTTAAGGTACATTTAAAAGTACACACTGAGTACACACAGGTAACAGTAGGTCTGCAGTCAGTACTCTTCACTGTTCTGTCAGACTGTCTGTTTCCACAAACAGAGACTGAACATAAAACACTAAATATTATGCTCTCTATAAAACCCTTCCTCCTCCTCCTCTTCCTCTCAGTCGTTGTTGTTTATTTTACCTTTATCTTCAAACTCACACAGACAAAATCTTCTCAAAACTTCAGCCAGATCTTAATTCTGAGAGTGAAAAGTTTAAAATGAAACAGTTTTAAAATAAACCCACTTCCGGTGCACACGGCAGGACTCACCTCCACAACCACGGGGTGTCCGCAGCCTGGTTCCAGCCCTGGACACAGTCAGATGTGACATCAGATTCTGCTGTGAACCATTTTATTTGTTACACCACCCTGTGTCTGTCCACTCTTCCGTGTACCGAGACACTCCTTCTGCTGCTTCTTACCTTACACACAGCCGAAGCACTGAGTAAATCCTCCTCGGTCAGAAATGTGAAAACAGAAATGAGACAATCGTCGATTAACTCCATGCTGTGGTCGATAACATCAACAGTCTCACCGCTGGACACAACCACCGCAGAAACACTGTAGTGTCAAGTTCAGGGGAACTACGGAAACTACGCAGAGACAGAACTGACGTACTTACGTCGTAGGGCGTATAGCCACCACCTCACCACCAGATGTCGCCATAATACAGGACACGTGATCCAGACGAACATCCGCGATGGAGTCGAACTGCAGAGAGAACACAACAAAACAACAACAAAACGTTAACAATTATTATTATATTATTATTGTTATTATTATATTATGTTTTTTATTTTATTAAATAACAAATGGCTGAAACCTGTGACGTTTGTGTTGTAACAGTGATCATTTTTCTGTTGTGTCACGTGACTAACAGTTTACAGTCATACTCACTGTAGGCAGCCCCCCCCCATCACACCCTTAATTATATCAGTCAGTCCAGGTAGTTGTCCTACTGTCTTTGACACATCTGTGTACTGTACTCTGACAGTACTACAGTACTGTGTACTGCGAGTATCTTTCTTAATTAAAGTCCTGCAGTTCACGGCACGTGTAAATATTTGTATAACTTTTTTCCGTCCGTCTTCTGCTTTGGGAGCATCAACAACTATTTTTTCTCACGACTTTACTTTGTTTTCTGCCCCGATGGTATTAATATCCTTGGCCCTGTCGTGCCCCCGCCCCTCCGCTTTGGGAACAACTGCCTCGGGCTGATTTCTGATGTGGTCGCTGTCTCTAAGAGACAAACTTTTCTGGGTTTAACTTGGGTCGAACTGAAGTCACCTGTGGGACAGACTGATGGAGGAGGTCTCCACGTCTTCTCTCTCCTCCATCTTGTCTTTCTCTTCACCTTCTTCCTCCCTGTCCAACTCACCTCCTGTCTCCCTCTGTCCATATCATTCTCTGTCTTCTTTCTCTCTCTCACCCCCCCCCCCCCCCCCCCCGGGGGGGAACCCCCCCCCCCAGACGGGGGGGGGGGGGGGGGGGGTATATAAGCGGAGCAGCGGGCTGCAGCGACAGGCTGCTGAGAGACACAGACAGACACACTGGCTCACCTGGGCGACTTACCTGTGCAGTGAGCGCGCGCGCGTGTGTGTGTGAATGTGACCGCGTGTGTGTGTGTGACAAAGACACGGTGGTGACCGCGGTGCGGTGATGACATCAGGACCCCCCCCCAGAGGAGGGCAGTGTGGATGACACCCACCTGTGAGAGCGCTGACCTCTGTGGATGCTTTTTCCTGGATTGTTGGACTTACCTGAGGACAGTGACCGAGCCGCGGACGAGTTCCTCCTCATCAGTTCCACACACCGGTGCAGGAACCTGAGAGCGGAGCCGCAATGAGTCGGAGAACGCGACGCTGGATGTTGAGAGTTTTACTTTGTCTAGGAATTGTTTATTTGAAGATCGGGTGAGCTGCCGAGGATCCAGTCTGTATCTGTAGACTTTTCTTCGTAGACATGCGCAGTTTTAATCAAACATCTCGGACCTTTAAAAAAAAAACAACTATAAAGGATAAATGAAGTTTAGCGTCGGACGCAGAGGCGGCAGGACGGTCGGTGCGTCACACCGCGACCCCTGAAACTCTACAATACTCGATATTATTAGTAGTACACGCACCTTAAACACGTACTCAGAGAACAGACTAATATTATACTACATTACCCTAAATCTTAAAACTTAAATTCTATGACGGTAGACACGATTAAAACACAATTTAAATCGATTTTGCACAGACTAAAATATCGCATTGTAAAAAAAAAAAAAATTACCGATTCTTTTTTTTAACGCATTGTAAAAAAAAAAAACGATTCTTTTTTTTTTTTATTAGCTTCTTAACGCAGTTTTCTAAACGCCACAGCCGTACAGTACAACGACATGAGGCTAGCAGCTCTACGGAAAAGTGGCTCAAGATGAGAGAATAATTTACAGACGTCATAGTGAAGATAAACACGGACATAAAAATGACGAGAAAAATATGAAACAATTAAAACTGAATTTAAAAAATATATTAGAATTCAATCTGTGTTCAACTAATCAAGTTTTCTCTTAATTAAGCTGAAGTTAATTTTAACAGTAAAAGGATGAAACAAGTTCATATAAAAATCTGAATCCCATTATTCTTCCATCCACAGCGGCTTCACGTCCGTGGTGGCCTTAGGTGCGAGCATAATCTGTAACAAGATCCCCGGTTTGGCCCCGAGACAGCGGATTATCTGCCAGAGTCGCCCCGATGCCATTATCGTCATCGGAGAGGGGGCCCAAATGGGCATCAACGAGTGTCAGTTTCAGTTCAAACACGGGCGCTGGAACTGTTCTGCACTGGGGGAGAGGACGGTCTTCGGAAAAGAGTTGAAAGTGGGTATGTTGCTGTCTGTTAAAGCCTTTTTCCTTCTCTAAACGTTCACTCACCTCCGTGTATATGTGCACCACGCAAAAGGCAAAAATATATTTCTGAGGAAACATATCTGAGGGTCTGAGTCCAAAAGTTCCACAGATGTGTCTACTCCTCTCCGTCTCCTCCATGTTCTCCATGTGGAGGTTGACCTTTGACACCAGGTCACAACCTGATGCTTTGTCTGGTCTGAGGACTGAAATCCACTGTCTTTAAATGTTCTTTCAATTGTTTCAGAAAAAACAAAACTCTGGTGGTTCTAGATCTAAACCTGATGATGAGATTCAGTTTCTGTTCTTCACATGTTTTAGTTTTTAAATCTAACAGAAATGACACCATCTGTCTGAGAACTTTTTGACTGAGCCCTGATTAATGGAACCAAGAGCAGAATATGTTTCACAGTTGTTAAAACACATGGAGAGAACTTCAGCAGATCCAGACTCAGGGCCGCAGCCCTGTGTTTGAGCCACAAGAAAAAACCCACTGTCAGAGCGGAGTGTGTGTCGTTAATAATTATTAATCAGGTTAATTATTATTATTATCAGTTAATATCAAGACTGATATATATAGACTACAGGTGTTTATTTATAATTAATGTAGGTGGACGAGGCCACCAAACACTGCACACTGTGCTGCATTCACATGGTACCGATGCCACTTGAACACAACCCCCCCCTCCAGGTCTCTTAGTTAGGGAGGGGGCGCCGGCGTGCCTGATTAAAAAAGACTCACACACCGTGGAGCTGACGAGAATCTATGTGATATGTTATCAGGCCTTTACGATGTTACGATGTGGGACTTATCGGAGTGACATCATCACTTCCTGATAATTATCTTCAAACCCTCATTTGTACTGTGATGAAAATGTAACAAATCTAGAACTGTTCAGAGATTCAAACCTGGTGAAGAAGAAAGGAGTGCTTTTAGCTTCATCACTGGTCGCAGCAGCAGATGTAGTCGATGTAGACGGCACCATCCGGTGGAGGAGGGGGGCGACTGGGGGGGTGAAAACCTTGTAGGAAATATAAAAATATAAAATAAATAAATAGGAAATACATGATTAAACAAAATGTATATTATCTTATATAATTTAATTGACCCACTTATTTCAGCAGTTTTGAACAAAATCAATTTGTTTGACATCCAGGTACAGGCAGCATCACATATGATATAATATAATATAATATAATATAATATAATATAATATAATATAATATAATATAATATAATATAATATAATATAATATAATATAATATAATATAATATAATATAATATAATATAATATAATATAATATAATATAATATAATATAATATAATATAATATAATATAATATAATATAATATAATATAATTTTCTTTCCTTTCCCATGGCTGTCACTCTCCCTCTAACCCTCCTTTGTGTCCCACTATGGGGAGCTGCCCATATAGATAATACAGAGTCATTGACTTCAGGCCTATTTTCCCTCCCCACCTTTAAGGGAGCAGAGCGCAGCGTTCTGGGCATGTGCACGGGGTATGTGAAGCCAACACTGTAACAGAGCTCTTGTGAAGGTTGTCAGCCTTTCTTTTCAGCCTGACACAGCCTCTGGAGACACATTTTCATTGGTCTTTATCCTGTCTAGTGATGGGTGCTGTGGCTCCCACTGTAAGAACATAGATCTTACCACGGGTATAAGTTACACCAGGGGGAGTGAGGGTTGGGGGGGTGGGGGTCAGGGGGTCCATGAAACATGGGTGTAAATTAATGGATTAATTAATAGAAATTAAGAGAATTAATTATTTTTCTCCTGTAAAAAAGAGGGAAATATATGGAATATCTTTTTCATACAGATATGTTTCAACAATACATTCAATATTAATATTGGACAAAGTCTTCAATAGACAACAGACAGTGAAGTTAAAAACAAAATCTGGTCTATTGTGGCCTGACTAGGTCTACTTAGCTCTGGTGTCTGTACCAGGACTGCTGTAGCTAACGTTAGCTCTGGTGTCTGTACCAGGACTGGTGTAGCTAGCGTTAGCTCTGGTGTCTGTACCAGGACTGGTGTAGCTAGCGTTAGCTCTGGTGTCTGTACCAGGACTGTTGTAGCTAACGTAAAGAAACTACAATCTTAAGTGTATCAATGGTACCAGAAACCAAGGAACTTAACAGATATTCTTTTTTATCAGTTAAAACCAATTTGTTCAATTCCCAGCCCTTGTTAAAATACGAAACCTCTAAGTTTAAACTGGAGGAGGATTTGCCTAACAATAGTACGTGTTTATAGCCCCACACAATGGTCAAAAGCCCTCCACAGCTGTTTTCCACCATCTTGCTGCCCTTAGAAAGGACGGATTATCTCCTTATACTCCTCAGATGAAAACAGCGGCGCTGAAGTGACAGTTTTTCTTTCCTCGTCAGGAGAATGTTGCTCCACAACTGAGCTCTAAGCCCAGGGCCGCGACAGCCGTGGCCAATAGATTGGCTTCAGTGATCAGAACGGCACTGAGAAGGTGAATTGTTGCAGATGAATGCTATTGTTGACGCGCACTCTGAGCCAAGCTGGGCGGCTCGTGATTGTTCCTGAGGAAGATGAGAGAGGAGACCAGTGGGCCGACATAATTCAGGAGTGCTGACCCACACTGGCTACAAGTGGGTTTGCAGTTGAACTCTCTGGTTCATCTGAACTGTATGAAGTTAAGGTCAACATAGAGAGAGTTCATATAGAAGTCTGTCGGGACGAAAGAGAGACGACAGATGATGAAAGAGAAACCACCGTGGCAGAAGAAGAGTGAAGTGGAACTCCCACCTCCTCCTCCTCTTCCTCCTCCTCCTCCGCAGACTTTTCTCCTCCCTTTTTTTCTCATTTTTAATATCCTACACCTCTCATTACAAGGTTATGAAGAATTGATATACCTTCTCCTGCAGTGAACTCGTGCACTGACTGTTGAGAGTGAAGAATTACCAACAGCGTGCAGTCGGTTGTGACACACCTTCATTTTTGGCCCCCAGCCCACGGATTCTATTAAAACGTCTTCATAATTGATGTTTGAATATGAGCTTCTTTTTTCCTTTTGTTCGACGGCCAGGGCTCACGTCCAAGTTGTTTATCAAAAACATGGCAGCATTACGCAGTCGGCCGTGTGGCAGGAGGAAGCGCAGCGACGTTTGTTTTGATCAAAAAGAGACAAGAGGCGTTTGTTTACACATAAATAAAGGGCGTGATGGAGGTTGGGAATCTGTTTCCTGTTGGCGAACCATAGTTTGGTAGGTAAACATTTGTGTCGCCTTTGTGACCTTGAACGTTAGCGTTTCTTTGATTTTCTGGGCTTTTCTTTGACGATTTGTCAGTAGGAAGAAGGCGTCCCCTGTGTTCACACTGGACCTGTGTACGAGTCTCGTGGGATTAACCATTAGTTATCGGTCGATGTTTCCGTGTGCGTAAATGATTTGTTAGTAGGACTTGGCTGAGATAACAGCTGAATGAAGATTCAGGTGACGGTTCCTTATGGACTTCCACAGAATGTGACCGTGTGTCGGAGCAGATCAATAACCCTTCCTTCCCGACAACCCTCTTATTCATGCCGATCTGTTGACCGTACGGCCAGCAGCTATTTTAGTCCACACTGCAGCCTCTCAGTGATGTCAGCCGGACTCTGACGTAAATGACTCGTTGCTAATGATTAATCTCTTTAACATCTTTTTTTTTTTACCTGAACAAAGAATATAGAATATTGTAGGAAACTCAGTGATTGATATATTTCACTCATTCACTCATCTTTTTCCCTTCACTCTCAGGAAGCAAAGAGACCGCGTTCACCTACGCCATCATCGCAGCAGGCGTGGCCCACGCCATCACGGCCGCCTGTACCCAGGGCAACCTGAGCGACTGCAGCTGCGACAAAGAGAAGCAGGGCTTCTACAGTAAAGACCAGGGCTGGAAGTGGGGGGGCTGCTCGGCCGACGTCAGCTACGGCCTGGGCTTCTCCAAGGTTTTCATCGACGCCCGGGAGGTCAAGCAGAACGCACGGACGCTCATGAACCTTCACAACAACGAAGTGGGGCGAAAGGTAAGTGGTGTTTTATTTCAGCAAAGTTGGAATTTTAATGTGACCAAAACAATCAAAATAAACGTTGACGTCTACAGAAAGAGCCACTCAGAAGATAACGCCTGGTTATCGATTATTATTGATCACTGACTAAAATGAACTAAAACCAGATTGACTGAGCGACTAGTTCACTGAGACTCAGCTGTTGATCCCAGATCACAGTCTGACCAGTTTCTTCCTGTAGATGTGGGGTGTATTAAACCCTGTTGAAGCTCAGCTTCAATGGGATTTTTAAAACCCTGATTGGACTAAAATGCAGAGGATTATTATCTGTGTCAGACTAACTGTTAGCTGCTGTTAGCTTGGTGACCATGGACATTTCTAGAGAGTTGTTCCAGATGTTTCTTCTTTCAGTTGAAGAGTAACTACAGCTGTTGTAACTGTTTGTCCATTTTCTTATTGTTCACTTCATCAGAGAGAGTAGAACAACCCACTACTGGGTTCATCTAAATAAAGTGGTCTGGACCCAGGTCTGAAGACTTGAGGTTAGACCTAATAGTGAACTTCCTGTTAATCTGGTGCCTGGTGAAACCTGCAGTGGAATAAAAGGCTGCTTTGAGGAGCGGAGCTGTCTGTGGGTTTGATTACAGCCCAGATCACGGCTCTGAAGGCAGATTGACACTGTACAAAAAGGCATTAGCCCTGACCCCACATGCTCTGCACCAGTGAGACCAGTGTACAGTTACCTTTACTGCAAATATTAGAAACCCACATCGGGCGCTATGTGCTTGTACACGCAGCGTCTTTGGTGTTTGTTGTGAGCTCGGCAGATTTGATCAACACCGGTTCGTACTGTACATGTTTACTCCCTTTGAACAGTACTTTGAACAGACCAGAGTTTTTCCATTGAACATGGTGAGGATTTGAGGCACTAAGGCTGTGGCCTCACTCACAGGAAAAACTGCAGGTCTGTTACTGGTTGAGTTGATAGAAATAACATTATTTTTAAGGTGAATTTTCCAATCACTGCATTACTTTGAGTCTGTAGTATCAAGTATCACTTGAATACCAGCAGATCAACTTCAAAAGAACCAAAGTGTTTGTAACCAAATCCTGTTGCATTTTTCAAAGAACTTTTAAATATTGACTAAAGCGTGATTAACCGCATGAATTATGTGATTAATTGCAATTAAATTTTTTTTATTTTTTGTTGCTTTGCTGCTGTTGCTGTTTTGCATGCATGGCTGTAGACCAGTGACAAAAAGTCTCCAGTAAGTCTAGGGGTCAGACGCTGAAAGAAATCATGTGCCAAACAGCTAAAGTGAGGTGGGAGTTAGTGGAGAATAAAAGGAGCTCCAGCAGAGTTAACTCATGTCTCCTCTCCCTCTCCACCACGCTGTGCCAAAACAGCCTCATTCACAAAACCAACATGTCCGACAGCAGCTAAAACCCTCCACGCTGACAATTGCAGCGAGAAGATCATTTTCTCGGTGCATTACAGGACCATGACGGCCGACTGGACTATCTGGACAGCTAAATTGCCTCCGAGGGAAAAAAAAGGAGTATATTTGTGGACTGAAACGTCGAGCACTTTTCTCTCCGTACCATTCACTTCGTTAATAAATAGACTCTCTGTTGATAGTGCTCCCCCCGCCCCCTGTTCTACCTCCTTTATTTATGCTAATCAAAAGCGGTGAAAGTGAGCAGGAACTCCCAGTAGAAAACGTCAGGACAAAGCCTGTCACAAGTGTTGGTCACAGAACAATTGATGGATAAAAGAGTTGAAGCCAAGGGCTTTATAAAGTGGTCTGCTTGGGAAAAAAAGTTGTTTTTCTTCGGGTGCTGGTTCACATGTCTGCATTTGGGCTTACAGTTGGTGTAGGACGGGGCATAAATATCTGGGTTAAGGTGTCTAGGGAACACGGTAATGCACTCCACAGCTTTTCAGACCAAAGCTAACTGCTATTGACCTGTTAGCCTAGCAGAACTCCAGTTGTAGTCAGTGGCACTTCACATTGTCATCAGCAAAGGGTTTAACTGTAATCCAGGTCAATCAACTCCCTGTACAGTCACTCTCCATATTTCTGAGCTCTGTGTGTGTTTGAACTACACACACACACACAGAAAGAGAATGAGAGAGAGAGAGTATGAAATCTGATATATTTTCTGACTGACCGTTTGTCAGTTGTTTTCTTACAAAATCACAGTCAGTCAGTTGCCTTGAAGTGCACCTGGGTGTGATGTGTGTTAAAGTGTAACCGATGAACAAACATCTCGTTGGTGACAGTAACAGTGACATCTGTTTGACTGATGAGGTCATGAAACGATACGTTAATGACTTTATAAGGATTTACTCGCTCTGTTCTAAAGCCGTTAGTGAAGTGTAATTCACTCGTCGCCGAGACGTTGTCACCTGTTGCTGAGTTGTTGTTTTTGTTTTTCCAGGTCCTGGAGAAGAACATGCGTCTGGAATGCAAGTGTCACGGCGTCTCCGGCTCCTGCACCACCAAAACCTGCTGGACTACACTTCCCAAGTTCCGCGAGCTCGGCTACATTCTCAAAGAGAAGTATGCCCACGCCGTGCACGTGGAGCCGGTGAAAGCCAGTCGCAACAAGCGCCCGAAATTCCTCAAGATCAAGAAGCCTTACTCGTACCGGAAGCCCATGGACACAGACCTGGTTTACATAGACAAGTCGCCCAACTACTGCGAGGCGGACGCTGTGACGGGCAGCCTGGGAACCCAGGGCCGGGTGTGTAACAAGACTATGATGCAGCACATCAGCGGCTGCGACCTGATGTGCTGCGGCCGAGGATACAACACGCACCAGTATTCCCGCGTGTGGCAGTGCAACTGCAAGTTCCTGTGGTGCTGCTACGTCAAGTGCAACACCTGCAGCGAGAGGACAGAGGTGTACACCTGCAAATAGGAATATTTATTGGACAGTGTGTGTGTGTGTGTGTGTGTGTGTGTGTGTGTGTGTGTGTGTGTGTGTGTGGGAGTCTGCATGTTTATATTTTGCCGAGAACAAACTGGAACTCTTTAAATTAAAAGGCAGCCGCTGCCACGTCGTGAGACTCGACTGTCTCGTGCCCACAGTAAGCTGAGGAAGTGGGGTGTCGCTACTCTTTTGCACACAAAGCTCTTCACCCCTGCCCCCCCCCCACGCCCCCTTTCCCTGAAGTGTTGTATTTTTGGGACGCAGCATCAAAACACTGCGACTGTTCACAGTGAACCGTCTTCTTCCAGTGCCCAAGGTTAAAGGTCAAGATCTGAAGCTGCGTGGACGTGGACCCACACACTGGACTGATACATGCAAATGGAAGAGAGTGTGTGTGTGTGAATACTGGTACACACTCCCTGAGCACAGATGACACAGGCTTGTGGAATATTTAACACAATGTATTTAGAGAATGGAAATAATTAATATTAATTTATTCTATAAGAAAAAACTACTGTTTTTTTTTTTGGGTCTTTTTTTTGGATCAAAAGCAACTAAATTTCAGGAGGTTTTAGTTCAACAAAACATTGACACTGGTCTGATACTGGACTTGAAGTGACTATTCCTGCAGTGATACTGCAGTGATACTGTATGTAAACTGATAGAATGATGTTGTTCCAGATTCAACTGCTGTAGGCTGTTCACACTGACCTTCTGACCTTTCTACTGAGTTTGTCTTCCCTCTGTTTGCTGCTAGTCTAGAGACTCCCTCTGTTTGAGCTGGAAGGCTGCATGGTCTGTTGACCGTCTTCAATGGCATTACGCTAACTTCAAACTGATTTAGCTTAACTGGACGTATTTACTGAACGAAAAGGCACAATGTCCTATTTTGGTAAATATTGGTTGAGAGAGTATATTTTGTAAAAAAAGTATTTTTATATGAATGTCTTATTTATATCTTCTGCATAATCAGTGTCAAGTCCTGACCATGAAAACTGTTCTGAAAATCCTGACATGTGTAATACGCCCCCTGCTGTCACTACCATAGATGTATATCGTGAGTGATACAAACTGTTTATGTGCCTGTGTTTACTGCATACTATATGTCTTACTACTGATGGAATACAGGAACAAAACCGTACTAACAAGACACGGCTTCCATTATTGCTTCTTCCGACCACAATCAGGCCGTCAGCCAATCAGCAACCTCATGTATGGGGGGGGGGGGGGGGTTTTTTCTGTGTAGAGTTTTTGTAATAATTTTTGAGCTAAAGAGCCAACAGCTAATATTAGCTAATGTTATGATAACTAACAGCTAACATAAAAAAATGTTTTTTTGCAGTCAAAAGACAACCGTAGCTACAGTTGTTAATTATAAAAACTTTTTCTTAACGAATGTTTCAGGTCATTTGTGTCTGTTAATCCTAAGAGGCAGAACTGAACTAAAGAAGCCTCTGAAGTAAGAGGTGAAAAATCTCCTGTGTGTATGTTGAATGATTAAAAATTTTAATCATAATTACTTTAGTAGTTTCTCCTGCAATTAGCCATGAATAATCAACAAGTTCAAAAGTTCTGTATTGCACCTTTATTGTCTGCAGTATTCTCTTTATGCAAAAGCAAAAATATCACTGATTATCAACATCATCCATAAAGTCAAATCTACCACCAAAGTTTTTTTACCACTGCCAGGACATTCTAGTTTGTTCTAGAAAAACCATTCTCTACGTTTCCGTTCATGTGAGAGCTGCAGCAGTGTCAGCGCTGTCCTCAATGATCTCATTGGTCAAGATGCAACCTCCAAACCAGTACTCTTCCACACCCCCCCTCTGTAAGCCTGTGCTCAAAGTCAGTGAGGAACAGATATTTAAAATAACAAATAAATCCAACTGTTTACTCTATTGAATAAAGTAAATGTAAATAAAAGAAGTCAAACTTTTTAAGAAATAAAAAACGGCAGAGATTTTCTCTCTCTCATCAGGATGAATTGTTGGAACTTTATGCCATAAATAACCTTTATAGTCCATTAAATAAGAATCAATTAAGTGACACAGTCATTACTTTCAAATGAACATAAAGTTAAATCATTTATAGTACCTACAGTGGGTTTTTCCTGGTAATCAGGCACCAGCGGTGTGTCATAAAATAAAGACAAATGTCTCCAGATATCAGTGGATCACCATGGAGATTAATCTGCTGTGGGTGGGTTACCCCACAGCCTCAATGTGGGCATTATTCAGCCCCAGAAAGAGAGCTCCTCTTTGGGGGCGGGGGCAGTTATTCAGGCTTAATTGAGGGTCCGTCCTGCACACTGGGGAAGAATTTAAATATGTCTGAGGAGAAATTGTTTGGGCCGTAATGGTCGGGTACTGGCGTAACTGATGAGAGCGGCCGAGCAGACTGTCACTGTGATGACTTGCTCAGTTGGGGGAGTGGGCCCTGTCAGGTGATAGATGACTCGCACATCTGCTTCATTCACTCCTGGCCCACTAGTTGCTACAACAACCCCAACGCAGCGGAGAAAATGCAGCACAGTCTCCAAGAGAGGCCGGCCGGCGTGTCAGGGAAATGTTAACGACACCGAAGCCCACGGTCGTTACAGATTCCACTCCCACTGGCCCGGGAGTGCAGTCAGGACGGGGGTCAGGACGGGGGTCCGAGGGCGCTGATGGAGAACCTGCTCCCAATAATCTGCTGGGATTGACCCTGAGCTGTGCTCAGCAGAGCCGTCCTCTCAGGCCTGAACGACAGCAGAGTTCAGGTGTCATTTACTGCGTCAGCGGCCGTGGACAACTGTGGTGAATGAAGAGGAGAGGACGCAGCAGGGACGATAACAGTCTCACACACCAGGCTCCAGTTAGACCTGAACCGGGGTCCTGTGTGTGTGACACACACCACATTAACAACACACACTCATTCGTCAGTAATCAGCAGAGTAAATCCCCAGGTTTGTGTGGTTTCTTTGAAGAGGGATGATTTTTATGGAGCACTAAACCAAATTAAAATAAACATTAAAACATTAAAAATATAAAATAAAAACTGCATTAATCAAAGAGTGTGGTTCCCTTTCATTTTCTCCCTGTGGGGGCGCTGTAGGAGTGAGTCAGACCCAGTGGGTTCATCAGTCAAAGCTCAGGAGAAGAACGTGGATTAATGGACCAAAGACAGACGACTGGATCGACTGTAGTTTGTAGACACATGTAGACTGGTGTAAATAGACCACATGACCAGACATGTGACCCCCAGAACTGAGCCTGTAACCGTGAGCCCACCGTCCTGGACAGCCATCCTCAGTGTCTTCTTCTGCCTTCTCATTAAGTTGTTTTTCTTCTGCTTGTTTTGAAAAGTTGATTGAACTCATGAAAGGCTGTGAAAGTGAAGCACAGTAGCCCCGCCCTCCCCTGAAGACTGGTGGGAGTGGCTCCAGCTCCCTGCACAGCAGCAGCAGCAGCAACAGCAGCAGCAGCAGATAAAGATGGAGATAGCTGAAACATCCTGTCAGCTTAGATTTTAACCCATAAATCAGTGCGTGTCAGTAACAGTTGAAGATAGGAGTGAAACAATATTTCATTGGCTTCAGGAGCCAGCCACGGGAAACGCTTGGCTTGCTTGCTAACAGCAGAACATCACAGCGGGGAAGAGAGGATCTCAGCTCAGGATGAAAGCCCTCGTTGATAGATCCCTAGATAACTACTTCAAACAGTGTGAAGTGTTTCAACAGGTTGAGCAGCGAGCAGTTTTAGCAGCACTGCAGGCAGAGGCAGTAATGAAGGCTTCAGTTCAAAGGAGACAACGTGATAAATACTCAAGAAATAACTTTGGCTGCACTGCAGACGATCACAGCAACTGTATCACACTGAACCCAATACTATACAGATACGTCAGATCATTTTATATAAACTGACAGATGGTGTGAAGGAAGCCAACATACTTCTGTGAATTATGGAGGCTTTAAATCATTCTAAATCATCTGGTGATTCCAAATGTAGATCCCTCTGTTCCAGTGTTAGGAACTGATGTTCAGATGGAACAGAGTCTCAGACTAGGATCACACTGGGACTACTGTTAAAAAAACTCAATATATCATTGCCTCTGTATCGTGATACGTATCTTATTTATTCTGTTGGTCAGACAGTTTGTTTAAGGTTTGTTGTTTTTACGTCTAATTTTTCACTCTCACCTCCTGCGTTGCAGAATTGTGACGCCCGTCTCTCTTGCAGTAAATGGCAGAATTGTCTGCTGAAATGTGACATCAGTGTCTCCTCATAGGCGACTTGGACCGACGTCAGACGTACCAGATAAAGTACTGACTGACAATAAGATCAGATCAGAGTCACACACGGTTAAAACATCCTCCTCTGCTGGAGGAACAGTGAAATGGTTCCACATAAAGTGTCTGCTGTGAAAACCTGAAGACATCACAGTAAGAAACGCTTCGATATCTGAGACCAGAGGGTCTCCGTGTGAACCCATCACAGTTCCACAGTCGCACCATCAAACACATCCCATTGCTCGACCTTTCCTCGGCCGATCGTTCACCTGCAGTGTTTTCCAGTCAGGTGCAAAACACCACTACACAGAGCCCACAGTCACTTCATCACCAGTGAGTCACAAAACACCACCTTCTTTGATACGGCAGCCTAAGTCAGACACCCTGCAGGATCACTGGCTGCTAATTATACTCTTAGCTGTGTTTTCCACTAAACAGGAGCAGGTCAGTGCCAAGATGTTCAGAACTGTAATATCCATGTAGCTCTGAAGTGGCATTGCATTACCCTTTGGAGTTTTGTTTATAAACACACACATAAGCGAACATACACTCAAGTACCCCCCCAACACACACACACACACCGTACATGCATATGCTCGCACACGGTGGAGATGGCTGGTAGCTGCTGCAGATTTATGGTGGGGAGTCTGGCTCCCCCTGTGTTGTTGCTGGAGGCCTGTGTTCATGACCCGTCACATCAGGGCAGCCCAGCAGTCGGCCTCAGCCAGCAATTATTGTCAAAGCCATCAATGAGTCTTTTAGGACATATTTAAGCAAGACCCTTCCTGCTCGCCATCTTATCCTGACGTTGGCTTGTCAGTGACCAAGATTTATGGGAGAAATTAAAAGTTGCCCAATAAGCAAGAGATTTGTTGAAACAGATGAGCAGCAGTTCTTAGAAAGCACGGTTTAATTATAGACCTAAGTGATCTGCTGTGCTGAAACCACACAGGAATAAAGTAAAAAAAAAAAAAAAAGAAATAGAAAAGTTCAGAAAAAACAAAACAGGTAAAAGATCAGTGGTTCAAACCAGGTTAACCTCATCACTGGATCAGCTTTGTTGGTCACATACACAAACACACAATGGAATTCAAACTATCAGCCTCTGACCAGGCTTGACCAGAACACCACTGTCAGACCACAGACCCTGGACTCCAGGTCTGTGGACAGGTCTGTGGACTCTGATCCAGGTTGGACATTTCAGCCTTGTTAAAGGAGGATGTAGAAAACACCTCCTGTGCCGTTTGCTCTCGGACCATAAATCCTCCGACATATGATTATGTCGGTGCTACATTTATTTTGCTCTGGTTGAGACATGCAGCAGCACCTGAACGCTGCAGAGTAAATTGCAGAGCGCAGGGTTGTCTT